GGGAAGCAACTTTAAAGAGTTTATGATTAAATGGACTATTAAGGGACTGGCAAGACAGTCTGGGGGTGGGGGGAGCCTAATAGCTCAGCAGATAAAAGCACCTACAAGCAGGCACAGATGCCCGGGGTTTGATCCCTGGGCATATAGAGCTGGCCCTGCCCCCAGGGCATGTTGAGAGGGCAATTGAGACTGGTGTGGTGGCGCACACCTGTAATCCTAGCTCCTGGGAGGCTGTAAACAGGTAGATCACTATGAGTCCTATCTAGTAGTGAGACCCTGAACACCCTGTAGACACTCCCCTAAAATACAAAAATAAAAAAGATAGCTTAGTGGACTAAGCACCTGCTGACGCAAGCCCAAGGACTAGGATTTGATCTGTGGCACCACATGCTCCCCCCCACCTTCTGCCCACAAAGACCAGGCGTGGTGGAACACGCTCATGATCCCAGTGCTGGGGATGCTGAAAACGGGAGGATCACAAAGAGTCCAAGCTGCATAAAGATCCTGTACCAAATACATTAAAAAATTAAATAATAATTAAGGACTATTAAGAGGTGGAGTCTAGTTAAAGAAAAGGTCCCTGGAGGGGAGGGTGTGTTAAAAGGTTTTCTTCTGGCTGTTTGCTTCCTAGATACCATGAGGATGCAGCTTTCCTCAATCATGCCCATCTGTCAAAATGTGTTTGCTTTCTTTTCCGCTGAGCATGCTTAAAATCTCTTAAACCATGAGCAAAAACCTCCTGTCCTTCTATTTTTTTTTTTTAATTTTTTATTTTTATTGTGGCTGGCTCAGCCTGCCCTGGGGACATGGCTGGTGGAGCATGTGGTGCCCAGGATTGAACCACGGTCCCTGAGCTTTGAAAGCAGGTGCTTTAGACTGCTGAGCTATCTCGTCAGCCCTCCTGTCCTTTTAAGTTGTGGGTATCTGGTATTTTGTCCCAGAAATGGAAAACTGAGTAACCTACTTCATAATATAAAAACGACTGAATAATAAGCAATAAACACGTGAGTAGCCACGGCCTGGATGACTAAGAGAATACTGCATAAATGACAGCGGCATTTATGAAGACAGATCATAAAAGACAGCCATCTTCTACCACTCTCTCTCTCAATTATTTATTCTGCTACAAGGTGCCATGCGGCTAGAATATCCAAGCAGTTTTACAACAGTGATTCATGTAGTGCTTAAGAAAGTTCCAGGTGAGCCTTGGGTGACTACAGTTCCAGTCAACCTCAGGTCAGACCCTGAGCCAAAACAATCATTTCAGCTACTCTATTTCATGATTCCTTAAAATTGTAGGAATGTCTTAGTAACTATACAATATATGACACCCACAACTTAAAAGGAAGTTTATTTTAGTTTACCTTTTCAAGCCACAGCTATCTGGTCCCACAGTAGGAAAGACATAGTAGAAGGGGGTGGAGAGAAGAAAGCTTCTCATATCAAAAGGGGGGGGGTGGCACAGAGAGACAAAAAGCAGAGAGATTACTGCTAAGATGTCTCTCGGGTAGATGGATGTTCAAGAAGAAGGCGGTGGTGAAGGAAAGCAAGAGACAGGAATAGGAATATTGTGGGACTGTCCTGCTTCAAGGTTGTGTATGGTGAGATTTTTGGACTTATGTGCAAACATGAGAAGCATAGAATTCTTTATCCTATTTTTCAAAATATAATCTAATTTTTAAATGTTTTTTATCATATTATGTAGGGACTTAAAGTTCAACATATCAATACTTGATGAAAAATACCTGTTCCTTATTATGCCTAAGATGTTTGAAATGCAGTGATATAGTGAGGTTAAGATTGATAGCCCAAATCGTTTGATAATAACAATAAGCTTTTCTTCTGGATGGTTAACAACCTAAGTTTGCAGACCAAAATTAGAGAAAAAGGGGGGATACAAGGAAAGCCAACATTTTGGCCCTAGCCTTCGAAGGTCAATTAAGACTCAGGACATATGAGAACTTGTACTGTAACGTCATGTACCTCGGTAGTGTCCCAAATTTTCTGATCAAGAAGATTATGGGGCCAAAGAGGAAAGTGATCAATGACATAGAGTGGGCCTAAGGAGAGTCACATGGGGAGAAGATACTCTCTCAGGCTTTCACAGAGAGCACAATGGCCAAGCATTGGCCGTGACTCATCCACATGGCTGCACTGACAAAGGTTCTACAATCTGTGGTACAGGATCTCAGGATAAATCCTGAGGGCATTTCACTGACCTTCTCAGACCAAAAAGCTACAACTCTTGTTGCATAGGTCCTGCTTTACCTTGGTCTTAACCATCCAGCAGAAAAGTATGAAGACGAAATTATAAGAAATAAAGCCATGCTGTTAAGTTGAGCTGTGGGGGACTCAGGTCAATAATTTCTGACATTGCCAGTTAAACAGAAGACCCAATGCTATTATGGGCTACTGGACTCTTTTAAAATATTTTGCTGAGTTTACACACCTATAATATTCAATAACGGAACTTAGAAAAAAGAGGTATACAGATGAATGTCCATTTTGTATCTGTGTATTCAAAGTGGTTGGGATAGATATATAGTTACATTCTGTTAATGAATAGAATGATTTGTTCTAATGGTGTTTGTAAATAGGATCACAAGTCCGCATCTTGTACAGCAATTAATCACTAAGTAGAATATATGCAGTGTATTATTTGTTGAAAAATAAAAAAAATTTCAAGCAAAAAAAAAAAAAAAAAAAGCAGAGAGAGAGGTGAGGAGCCACCTCTCAGTGATCTGCCTCTTGCGACCTGGCCCCACCTTCCACTAACACACTCAGCTGCTGAACTCACCAGTGGATGAACTCAAGGATGAGCAAGCACCCCCATGGTAAAACTACCACCCAAAAGCCACATAAGGCTTTGTAGGACACTGTCTATCTAACACATAACAAATAATAAATATTTCTTGTTTTAAGCTTCTATGTTTGGCAATAATAGGTAACAACAAATAGCACACACCACAGTTTTGACTTTGCATACATGTGGGGAATGACAGCTATCACAGGAAAACAAAATGCCTTAAAAGACACACAAAAACACCAAAATACTGGTTAGTTTTGAAGCTACATAAAGGGTATGTGAGAGGTTGACTGTGCATGTTTCAAACTTTACATAAGAAGCTATTTTAAAGTCTACTCATGTTTTTGTTATACTGGCATTTAATCCTACAGATTGTAATTATATCCTTTTTCACTTTTTTACTTTCAATAATCCCATCCTGGTCTCTGACGATTTTTCTCTTTTTGTGTTCTTCCCATTACCCCTTATACTACATAGTTTTCCTCTAAGAAGACTGGCTTTATCTATACTTATTCATTATAATCATGTACAGTATGACATACCCATGAACAACAGACTACACATATGACAGTGACCGCTCGTGTATCATCTAATTTGGATATGGCCATCTTAGGCATGATGCACTTATACATCCAAAACAACACATTAAGTGTGATTATACATGTCTGTCATTTCACACTTTGTAAGGCTGAATCAGGAAGACTGCTAGTTTAAGCCTAACCTGATCAACTTAATGAGACTCTACCTCAAAATAAAAAATAAAAACTAGAGTGGGGATGGAACTCAGGAAGGTGGCCCTACTTTCTATCTCTGATACCAAGAGGAAAAAACAGTACACACTGGAGTAACCTTAAGAAATTTAAAAAAAAAAAAAAAAAAAAAAACCTAAGGTAGCCTTCAATTCAACATTTATCTAGACCTGTACTATCCAATACAATGGACTGGATAGCTAGCCACATGTGGTCATTAAGCACCTGAAATAAACGTGGCCAGTCTGAACTGTGACATGCTACATGTTGTTTGACAAGTTTTAAACTGTGACGGCCCATGTTTAATATCCTAAACTAAAACTTAATAAGTTGATACAGTAATCATAGTCCACCTATTTACAGCCTCCCAAGAGCTGGGATTATAAGCATGTACCACCACCACACCCAATCTGCCCTCTCAGTGCACCCCAGGGATGGGGCCAGCACAGCAGGACTGGGGATTGAACCCCCTGCCCCTGTGCCTGCTTGCAGGCTATAATTCTTTTTTAATGTGACTGACAACAGTCACTTGTTTCTGGTGCTAAGTAACCAGCTTCTGGTGCTGAAAAAATATCACACTACCACTTTTTTACACAATACTTAGAGCACCATCTGGTGTTTAATGTTTTAAAGTAGCACATGTGGTTTCATAGCTCCTAACTTGCATGGCAATTCACAGAAATAGCACTACAAAAGGTAGAACCTAATGTAATAAATACCATCTTTTGCATGGCTCCAAGGATTCCCACAAGGTGCCTCAGTACAGTAACTGCTGTCCTGAGCTTGTGGTTCCTCAAGCTCCTTAAAGCATAGCAATGATCTCTTTCACTGATTTTTAGATACTGACTTTTTAAGTTACATTTTATACAAGCTTAAACTAGACAAGTCGATTTAAAATACATTGCTATTTCCACTAAATTCACATTGCTAACTATGCAAAAGTTAAAACACTTTCTCCAAAAGCTAGAGATTTAATTTTATTCTAAAAATTACTCCTAAATTACAAAACTAACACACATTTCCGGGGGCTAGGCACAGAGGGAGGAGAGGGAGCAATAAGCAGCACCTAAGTAAGTATATTACAGTAAAATAAAAATGTAGAGTTGCTGTTTCCAATTTCACTCTCCCCTTTGAGGGCCACCACACACTAGAAACTGGTATGAATTCTTCCATCTTTTTTTACATTCTGTATTGCTGGTAAATCTATAATTTTTTTGTTTTTTTTTTTCTATTAAAAAAAAAAAAAAAAGGAAGTGTGTCTGACACACTACATTCTGTTTTTAACACCAAGTCATACCATGTCAATAAACTCAAAATTTTCAGAGCTGTTTTCATACCTTGGCAGCATATTCGCGGTTTATCAATAAGTATAATTATGTCTAATGCCTCAATAAGCATTTCTGACCACATATCTTTCCACACAAGTACTCTAAGCTCTATTTTACCTTCAATCTGACCTGCTTGTGCCTGAGCTCCTGTATACGGAGGCTGTTGGGCCTGAACTCCTGGTGGGTGAGCAGCTGAGGAGGAGGAAGCAATGCTGTCGGGAGTTCCGGAACGATCTTCTGCTGGAGCACTGGGTGGCCCTGGATAGTCATGGGAAATCCGTTTAGTACCTACCCAAAGCCTTTTCTTCAGCAAGCTCAATTAAGAAACTAAAAATAACAGTACCATTGGTATAAGAACAGTATTACCACAAAAATAATCTTTTACATTAATGTACTCCATTTTTTTTCTTTCTTTCTCTCTTAATACAAAATTACAACTGGAAATTCTTCCCTGTAACATATGGAATGTGATATTCCTGTGTTCTTCCATTGCAAAAATCAAAACCTGTTTACGCAGTAACAGGATCACCAGCTCCATACAATCTATTTTGTAGATCAACTAAAAGTATCATTTTATTCTTTAACAGTTCTCCAGTACTTACAAATTAGGTTAATCTCCCGGTTTGGTAAAGACCCAAAGGTTTCTTACAATTCCTCATATGACATGACCCTTCTTCAGCTAATCTGATGTGCTCCCTTCCTCACTATTCACCTTGTAATTTTTTGCTTACATTTCTCTACACTGTGATCTATCACAGATTTAAATATCAAATTCTTTAAAACCCAGATAACTCTATACTTCTAGAAAGCCTGCTTGACCCATAATACTTTATTGCACTAGTCAATTTCTAAATAGTTGTATTATGACCTAGACTTCTACTCTGTATTTCTGAACCAGTCCCATCTTCTCTTGTAGATTGTGAGCAATTCTGGCCATGCTCCTGATGTCAATTCTTTTGTCTATTTCAAAGGCCTACCATACTAACATGCATAGCCCCTCCAGTTCTAAAATAATGAACATAAAAGTAAATAGGAACTGCTATAGATCCAATACTGTGATACTGAATGAAGATACTGTGAAGATAACCTAAGATATGTCTTAATCTTTTAAGTTCATTTTGTCTTGATAACACAGAAGTGTACTTGAAAGCACAGGTCTCGGAGTCAAGTTATTTAAGTACGAATTCCAGTGTGGCCAAGACTAGATGTGTAACTCCGAACATGTTCATTTCTTCTCCATTCCTCAGCTCCCTCATCTTTATATAAGACAGAGTCCTAGCTTATAGAAAATGCTATAAAAGCAATTACTACTTAGAAAGTTCTATGTATATTCTTATATTATTAGCAAATGTATTTCTTGAAAGCAAACTATCTTCCACCTTGGGGTATCCCCAGAATTTACGATTTTTTTAGGGATATGGTTTACAGTTAATAATCCAGTACTAATGATAATCTAAACTAGATTATGGTAGTGGTAATGAAGGAAAAGCTAATTATCAGGATAAAATAGGGGACTGCTTTTATCACCATTTTAGTTATTCAGAATATATGTAAATACATACAATATTACTTTTAGTTCTCTTTCCTCACTTGTATGTCCTATCACTGTAATATTTTACTTTATTTTTCTGTATTTAGGACAGGGCCTACAGGGTTTCACGATGTAGATCAGACTTGTAGGGATTCTTCTGTTTTCAGCCTCCAAAATGCTGGGATTAGGCGCGCTACCACTCCCACTCTCAATCACTGTCTCAGTGCACCCTGGGGCAGGGCCAGCACTCAACTGTAATATTTTAGTGTTCCATTTCCACAATCACTATGATGACCAAGTTTTATTTTACTGTATCACACCTAAAGAACTATAGAAGTACCTCACTTGTGTAACTGTACGATATTTTCTGTGATTTAACATATAAAGCTACAAGAAAAAGTCTTCCAATAAGCTGGCCTCTGTAGGGGGGAGGGGAGCAGTAAATGAGATTAAGCCCAAAACTTTGCACATGCCAAGTACTCTATCACCGAACTACATTCTCAAGCTTTTTTTTTTCCTTAATGGGACACGGTATTGCTAAATTTCCCAAGGCCTACCCTCTCATAACTATTCACTCCTCTACATGGTAGTTCTGAAGTATTAAATAAGTGGTTGAAATGTCAAGTCTTATTTTAACTGCTCCAAAAGTGAATTTTTTCAGATGTATCATTAGTTGAATGTATTCTTTTGCCAAGAACAGGCATTATATAAAATGTCTGTTTCTTGTTTTCAGAATTTCACACAACTACTGGTAATGGTAAATGTACTGGGTAATGAATCTTCACACAGGTAACAACTGAAAACCTGAACAAAACAGAACAAAACCAAATTGAACTGGAAGCAGATCAAATGTTGCATCAGAAGTTTACACCATTAAAATTACAATTGGTAAGAACTGCCAAGTCCTAACCCTGACAATGCCAGTAGAAAAAAAGTGTGAACTTCACAGTTGAACCAGTAGTTGGAAATTTAGAGAAAACCCACTGGAGTAAGATTATCCTTAAAGGTATAAAATTTAAAGTAAAAAACCTGTCCTAATCCTCCACTGACCATTGATTTGGGAAGGGGATACCCCAAAGGAGTTCAGGAATTAAAGCACACCTAAAGAAGAAAGGACAGATTAGGGATATCAGCTGTTGTACTGCATGGAGAGAAATGAAGTTGTTTAAATTAATTCAGATTAGCACTCTGCTGGGATAATAATATCACAGTTCCTCAAAAGACCAGCAAGAATCTCAAGTCACTACAATACAGTAGATACAATGTCCAGTTTTCATCAAAAACTATCAAGGAAAATATGAGCAATTTTTCAGGGATGGGAAGGTACTTAAGAGGAAGTAACTCTTAACTAGACCCAGACACTGAATGTTACAAACATTACAAAGCAACAATTATTAATACAGTGGTACCTTGATTTATGAACTGAAACTGTTTTACAATTTTAGGGAATATGTCTGTGGTCATGTCTGTTAAGCAGAGTTTGCAAACACATGCAACTGAATTATTTGCAAAAAGAAGTGTTTGTGAACTGAGGCATCACTGTATTTTTAAAAAATAATAGACATATTAAAAACTTAAAGGACAATATATCTTAATGAATGTAAAACTAAGTCTCAAGAAAGCAGAAAATATAAGGTAATTATAGAGCTGAAAGTCTAAAATTAAAATTTAAAAAATCACAAGTTCAGCAGCACACTGAAAAGGCAGAAAGAACAGTAATCTTGAATAGAGTTCAACAGAAATCATTCCACTGAAGAACAGAGAAAAGAGCCTGAAGAAAAATGAACAAGACCCACAAGAAAATGTCAGTCTCTGAAAGAATCCCCAACAAAGGAAATAAAGAGAAAAACTATTACAAGAAACGATGGTTGAAAAAAAATACAGTATAAGATAGGTGCTGCTTCAAGGTTGAAAACTTATATAAAAATACATCAAAACAATTTAACCAGAAATTCAGGCCAGGGAAATATAGCTCAGTGGTTCAGCACCTGTCTGGCAAGCACAAGGTCCTCAGTTCAATTCCTGGTACAAAAAAAACAACAACAACAAAAAACCTAGAAATTCATATCTAATTTTAAATTTCTCAATTTAAGATTAGAAGATACAGAGTCATCAAATAAAATTTAAATCCTGCAAGAAATGTGAAGATTATAAAATAGCTCAGATTAAAAAATACTTTTGGAATGTTACTTTCAATAAAATTTATTTGACCCAAACAGCAGTTACTCTTTAAGGGAGATGGTGCTAGTGACTGAGAACCAAAAAAAGTTTTCTGGGGTGCTGAAGTCTTCAGATTTTTTTATTTAGTCAGTGCTGTAGATAGATGAATCTGTAAAAATATACTGAACAAACTCTTAATATCTGTGCATAAGACCATATCCAAATTATTCTAAGAGGAAGGAAGGAAGAAGTTAGAAGAGATGAGACGAGATGAGACATAAGAGATGAAAGATAAGCAGGAAGTGGAAACTTACCAGAAACCTGATCATCTGTTAAGCCAAATGCTGACATAACGTTTTTATTGATTTCATCCTGGTTTTTCAGAGGATCAAAAGCTGACATACTTGCTGCCATAACTTGAGTAGACTGTTTACCAGAAGAATCAGAGGCAGCAGGCTTTTCTTCCCTACCATCCACTGTATCTACAGTAAGAATAAAAAAATAATTTGTTTTCAATTTATCTTAAGGCATTAAAATACAAAAGTATGTTAATATTTTTTAGAAAGTTAAGAGTAATTACCTCTGAATATAGCATTATGCACCATTTAACTTTCTTTTCTGTACATGTTTATATTTTTACATTTAAAATTAGGGGAAAGAGCAAAAACAAATACTAGATAACTTTTCCATAAATTACCTACTTCAAGAATTAACAGATAGAAAAGTATGAAGACGAAATATAGGAAGTAAAGCCATGTTGTTATGTTGAGCTGTGGGGGACTCAGGTCAATAATTTCTGACATTGCCAGT